AGCTGCTGACAGATAGCAGTAAAGTCAGCAGCCCAGCACAGCTTGGGCAGCAGGCTCTTCTCTGTTCATATTTCATTGCACTTGGCACAAAGTAGATACCAAAGGAAAGAGCTGGGTGGGAGTTCGTAGGTGTTGAAATTTTTTATTTATGTTTGAAAAGCTTCTGGAGTTTCCCAGTGAATTACTAAATCTTTAAAAATCATTGAGGAATTTAATACCTTTAGATAGTGTTGCTCAAGCTTTCCAGAATGCCTCAACAATTTTATTCCATTTTGTACTCATTTTTTTGTCTTAAACACACTTCCACTAAAGGCGACTAACATCAGGAAGAGACTGGCTTTCTAGACCCAAGTAAATCCTTTTACTTAGAACAGCCCAGCACTAGCATTTTTGCTGTGGACATTTTGCAGACGTGGTGATGAAAACACAGCTTTTCTTGGTTCTGCTGAGTTTCAGGGAGTGTCCAGACAGCCACACACTAGCCTTTCCTGGGTCAAGRGCTGCTGTGGTAGTGTCTGCTTCTTATTATATAAATATGTACTATTTTTGCAAATCAAGACCACATCTTGAGTGAGTCAAGCTTATATCTTTTACCTCAACAGACATTTAACAACAGTAAAAACATACCAGGCTTTTTACTTCATCCTTTCATTTTAGCATAGCTTTTTACCCAGAAAGAGTAAGTAGAAAGTATTTCCACAGTTACAAGCCTTGACTGCTAAGGTCACAGGCTGTATGGAGGATAAATGGAAAAAGATTTTTCACAGAAGCATTGCAATGCTTCTTGCAATTCACAGCAAGAAGAAATTCCTGTTCAAGGAACGAATAATTGCACACAACTACATATATCTATAAGTGAGAGACTTTATTTGAACCAATTTTTCAAATACAGACATCTGTATTATTCTCACTTCTTGGGAATGTTTTCTGCTCAGTTTTCAAGCTTGCAACCTTAGGACAATATTCAGGACATATGTGTACATTAGATCTCTGCAGATGGACACATTCATATTACACAAGTACAATGAGTGAGAGACTCTTTCCAGATCCTCACACAAGAGCATCGGAAATGGGCCACTCTATTCATCAAATCTGCTCTTATTAGCTTCCAAACATCTCATAGTTCTTTATACTTTCTAGGCTGTAGCCTTCTTCTTCGGGCCCTGATTTACTACTGTGTTACTTCAGCTGTATGCCAGTGTAACTCCTCAAAATAGGGCTTAGGTGATGCATAGGGATGTGTTTTGTTCATCGGGAACAGGCATGAGCAGAAAAACCAAGCTACTGGATGAACGGTTATCCTAGGATTTTCTTTTGCAAGAGTAGTCTAGGTCTCAGGCTGGGATTTTTGGAAGTGACCAGTGGTTCTGGGTGTATAATACATGAATCTTGATGCTCAGAGTGCGCAGGGGACCTGCTAACTGGGCCCCTCATAAGATGTCTCAGGCTGGGCACTCCAGAAGGAGCCACTTGGTCACTTGTCTGTTCTGCAAATCTCGGCCTTTACCTCTTCTTCCAAGTATTGCTCAACAGAGAAAAGTAGTAATAAAGCATTGTAGATAAGAATGCAGGCTCGCACATGACCTGAGATCAACACCCTGAAAATGGATAAAGGGTAGCATTTTCAGGACCCCCTAAATGACTCAAGGTCTTAAGTTCAGTTTTCAAAAATTACTGGAGAATCTCAGGCCAAAGCCCTAAAACTTTCAGTAGGTAAGAAATGGAAAATCCTCCAGCATCTGAGCTGTAGGAGATTAATTTTCTCTGAAAGACAGCGAACTACGTGCTCTTAAGTGTCCTTGTCATTTAGGCTATTCTGAGAATTGTACCCCATATACATATGGGTAAATAAGGGGCAGACTTTCACAGGCACAAGTGGCAGTTAGACATGTAACTCCCATTGATTTTTTTCCCCCTCGGGGACCTGGAAAATCCTCCCCCCGAGGAGTTGGATCCTCCTCTCACGTTACTTTCACACCAGATTAACACCACTGGTTCCAGTGGAGTGACTCCTGAGTTACCCCAGTGTGAGCGAGAGGAGAACCAGTCCTGAGGTGCTCTAAATATCCAGTGAAAGTGCTAATGTGACAATGTAGAAAAGCAGGGATTCTGAGCATAGGCCTGGAAGAGGACCCCACCACCCCACATCATTGAGCTGTAGGTGATCACCAAATAGACATTTTGGCCAAAGGGGACCACAGGAACATTCATTCTCTTTCCTTCACCTCTGCAAGCCACAACCACTCTATCTGTCTCCAAAGACACCTACAACGAACATCAGACCTTCAGTACAAAAAGCCTCACATGCTACAGTGTGCCATAAAGAGAGCATAGAAAAAAAAGAAGAAAAAATAATGTCGCCAGTTTGGTGGGGAGTTTTATATGAACTCCCTCTTTTTTTTTTTCTTTTTTTTTTCTTCCTTCCTTTCTTTCTAAACCCTTCTCCTCCAGTCATGGCCATTTCTTTCATTTGAAATAACACAATCTCCAAATGACAGTGCTCATTCTGCCACCGTAGTCGTATTCTTTGTAGCTAAGGCCTCTCATGGAGCTGCATGAGGGTTGGGGTTGGAAAACACCATGTCTGAAGGGATCTCAGCAGGATATGTTTCCCCTCCCTTTGGAATGTGGCTCATGGTGGAATTTTTTTGGCTGATGCAACTGTTGCAAGAGTTGTATTTCATACAGTATCAATATGTGTAATCTGCAGATGCCACATGCATTGCAAGGCAGACAAATTCGAGCAAATGATGTACTGCATTGACAGGGGTGTTAAATTTATATATATATATATATATATATATATATATATACACACACACACATATATATGTATATATATTTCCAAAACTTAATTTTGATGAGGTGAAATGTCAGGAGCTGGCTGGCCTGTAACTGGTACAAGCATTCAATGTAGMTGTAGATCACTAGCATATCTTACTSCATAGGCATGAAAAAAGCCCTTCTTGCATTCCAAATTTCCTAGCATGGTATATGAGGTCAGACACTTTCTTCCCAATATGAATCATTTTGACATCCTCTTTCCTCTTCATACATTGAGCAACAACCACAGGCACCTCCAGACAAGCTCTGCATCCTTCCAGGAGAGAAGGAAGAGCAATAGATATATACTCCCTGGGGAATTCATGTCAGCCGTTGCATGAGGAATTCTAGAGTGGCTCCAGCTATTCTGCAGGATACTCTGCTCCATCCCTTTGATTCTGGGACCTTCTATGTCTTGTGCTGCTCTTTGCTCATTTGATATCATGCTAGAAAATAATTTCTCAAATGCCTCTGTTCTCTAAGGTCTTTCCAGTTTCCATCTCTTGCTATATCCTTTCTGCTCTTCCCTCTCAGGCTTTTTAACTCTAGCTGAAGAGGCAACTCAGGGAAGTCCAAGTGCTTTTCTCTGTTCTCTTGCTGTACTCTGAAGACAGTCCAGCTTCCTGCACAGATCTTGTGCACCACATGTAAACCACTGCCTGCTCAAGGCAGGTTTGTGCACTTGCTCACACTGAATTGGCCCTGATTCTTTCCCTGGCTCTGCAGGGTCAGCACACTGTACAGCAAGAAAGTTAGGAATTGATAGGTTTCAGCTAGCAGTTTTAAACTGGAACAAAGGGAGAGGAGCTAGTATTAAGATTACTTAGGGTTGCAATTGGTAACCACATACTCCTTTCCTTTTGTAGGGAAAAAAACAAAACACAACACCCCCCAGCTCTTTGTTCTAAGAAAGAAGACGAAGTATGCTCTTACAAATGACAGGAAAACACACATGATGTCCAAACCACCAGCCAAGGAGAGCCAAGATGCAAAATGCACATATAAAACATCCCCCAGGGAGAGAAAAAGGTTTCTGTTTATTGAGGAGGGAGGGTGGCCTATGTCCAGGAAGACAGGATGGACAGATTTATTTTTTCTACAAAGTAAAAAAAAAGTAATAAGAAGGTGTAGGCAAGATGAAAATTTGGCATCTGAAGTCAGAAGAGTAGGGAGACCACGTGGTCCTTGCAGTTGTGAGCAAGACAATCCTTAAGAAAACCCATTTAAATGGTCATGACAGGAGATGAAGCTACATAAAAGCTGTGCTCTCTCCTTCCTGCCTCCTCCCAAACACCTCTCCCACTATTCCTGAGAGTTGAACCTCAGTTCTCTTGAATCAGTGCTTAGAGACACAAGGCGTTTACGACATCCGAGCCAGGCTGGGCACCCGGTGCGCCACGAGCAGCAAAGACACCGGGCCTGTCCGGAAGGGCCCTCGGCCYGCTGTGTCCGTCGGAGCACTCTCCCTCTCCATACACCATCCGCCCACCTGCCGCTTCCGCGGGGGAAACAGGCAGGCTTGTGAGACCCGACATACGGTCCAAGCAATGCCTGATGTCCGCGCTACATTTGCTGAATTGAGGTCAGGCTGGAAGGTGTCTCAGGGTTTACCACCCATCATGACATGGGAATATTAGCATATATATTGTTTATGAAGTATGACACAATACCTATCTGTCAGTCAGCCCATCTTTCTATCTATTTAGTCTGTCTAACCTACTTCAGCTAGCTACGTTTCACTATCTCTATCAATCATCTATTGCTCCATAATATCTAATTTCTTCCTGTCTCTCTCTCATCTTTTTCACTCTAATCTTTCTTACACTAACTATACTCCCCTCTCTCTCCCTATCATCCATCTATCCACTCTAAAATCTTTTTTCCTCCTCTCTCTAATCCCCGTTTTTAAAAATCTCTGTCCAATCTCTCTCCCACTCTCTCTTTCCCTCTCTCTCTCTTTTTCTTTTTTTTCTTTTTTTTTTTTTTTTTGTTGTTGTTGTTTTAAATCCTCTCACTCTCTCTCTCTCTTACTTCTATACAATGTCAGGAAGCACATGGAAATGAATTCTGATGCATTTCGAGGGCATTTCCAGTGAGCAGCCTACGTTCAAAATGATCATCTCCGAGGAGATGCCGTTCATCTTTTCTCCCTGTTTCCAACAAAGAGATGGAGGAGAACAAAGGAGTGGGGAAGGGAGGACACACCAGCCCTCTGGAGGCCTTGGAGCTGCCAGTGAGGTGCTCTGGGGTTGTCRGCAGACTCGTCTTTTTGGTGTTATATCTGTGAGGCCAATTAATGCTGGTCCTGTGAAGGGCAGTATTGTATTGTACTGCAATACTGCAGGATGCACTAGCTGTCATTCCCAGGGCAGCCAGGGAGCCATCCAAAAGCTGGTGGGAAAACAGTCTTAACTAGGCTTTTATGAAAGGGCTTTAGAAAGACTTTTTTATTTCTTCCCCCCCATAATACATTTAAGCTGTTCGCTTTCGCAACTAATAAACAGAACAGCAGACCCTGACAGCCATTCTCCCTCAGGGCTGGGCGTCTGTCAGGTCTCATCCCAAAGGTGGGTATTTGGTTGGCACGCACCAAGGAAAAGCCGGCACCCCGTGGAAGTGCTGGTGGAGATTCGTCAGGAGGGCGAATTCGTCATGCACCGGGCATGAGCTAAGCCTTTAACTGACCACAGGGAAAGGATATAAATAAGAACTAAAATCTAGGCCCTAATTAGAAGGGGATGAGCAGCCTGGGTTTCGCAACGTGCTTTCCAGGAAGCAGGAGTGAGATGTTTCTCAAAAGCTCCAAGAACCGGCTCTCACATCACTGGACATTGACCTGACCCCATGTCTTCCATTTACTTAATGCCTCGAGCCAATCTGTTTTGCCAAAAAGACCATTTCTGGAGGGCTGCACCATGTTCCTGAATGACTCTCCAAGTCCAGCCTTGTAGAGTGACCTTGCTGCTGTGGAGAGCGCAGGCCCCACTGCCCCTGTCCCCAGTCAGCCCTTGATGGGGATAAGAGCCTTAGCTTAGACCAAAGTTGGTTCCTCTGCCGGGACCCACAGGGCTTATCCTTCCAGGATAGCTGTGGTCCCCTGAATTAGGGCCTAGATGTCTCCTGGAGAGTCACTTATTCTGTTTTTTGCCTAAAACCAATCTCAGTATTTCTGTGATATTAGTCGGTCCAATGCCTAACACCAAATACAACCTACTTCCCTTACAAAAATACCCTTGGCAGTGCCAGGGAGAAGAGCCAGTCGCTGACCCACAGCAAAGCAGTGGCTGAGAAGTAAAAGGGGTGGGGACCACTCCACAAACAGCCCACCAAAGATCGGTCTGTGTAGGCAGGCCAGCAGGGTGTGAGGCAGCATAGAGATGCGACACGGTGGTATTAATGATCATTATTCTCATTTATTATAATTATTGTTCAGGTTGAAAAAGGAGCCTGGAGCCATATCTTATGCTAATTGGCACATTTTTGTTTGTTTGTTTTGTTTTAGTTCTGAAAACAAACTGGGGTTAGTATTACTTTTTTTGTTCATTTGTTGGTTTTTTTTTCTTTAGTTCATTCCATCACACTGAAAACGGAAGAAAAAGATTATTTTTTGCTTTTCCTTTTTCTTTTTTTTTTTTGTTTTTTGTTTTCATTGTAACTTGATCAGTTTGGACTCCTTGGATGAACGGAACATTGCACACACACATACTTGGAAAAGAGAGAGAGGAGAGAGAGAGAGAGAGAGAGAGAGCGCGCTCGCGGTGGGCAGACAGACACACGCACGCGCCAGGTCAAAGAACTCTGATACAGTGCAAGAATTTTCCCAAAATGATTGGATCATCATTACCAAAAAACTCGCCATAACAACACCAAGAAACAAAGAAATGTTTAAGCCACACTGTTTGACTGGGATTTTTCCTGCTTTTTTTTTTTTTTTTTCTTTAAATGTTTGCCACACAGAGAGAAAAAGGGTTTAAGTGGGAATGGGAGAGGGACGGACAGGCTCACAGGTGTGAGCAGGAAAGGGGGAGATCAAGATTGGGGTGGGAAGGAAGGATAGAGGATAGGGGGAGGGAGGGAGGGGCAATGGGGAGTTCATTTCTTAATGTTCAGGCATTTTCTTGGTCCGCCTTGCTSTCTTCTTCTTTCACCTCTTCCTGCTGGGCACTTTCAGTAGGTTTGGTTTCTTCTACAGCATCTAGTGGGGAGAGAGATGGTCCAGCGTTAGTCAGCCATGATCTAGAGCATCCTGCACGTGCACACAGTCATCGCATGTTGGGTTTCATCCCTTTGGGTTTCTCTCTTCCCAGAGTGACCCACGTTTCAAAATGTCTGGCACTTCCGTGACATGGACACAGCCCATGGACTTCAGTGTAGCAGACAAGTGCCTAGCTCACACAAAACACTTCTAGCCCTGCCAGAAAGGACAGGCCTCTGAAAGGAAGTACCTGGATCTCTGAGCCCAGCTCCATGCTAACACAGCAGGCAGCCATCATTCATTTCAGCAGGGGCACTGACCAGGCTCCTGGCATGCAGGGCAGAAGGAGCTGGATCAGGCATGCACAGTCTCATCTCACCGAGCCTGCCAACCGTGCTAACAGCTGAATAATTCCCCCTTAATTACTGCTACTCCCAGCCTAGTCTTAAAGAGAAAACTCTATAGCCACACTTGTAACTTGCAAGATCCACAGGGAAAATCCTACAGAACGGAATTCAATTTTCTCCTATATTGAACAGATTTCTAGAGAGATGTCTCTAAACCTTCAAGAGCAAGATAGTTCAGCAGAGAGGTTGTCCCTGTCTCTCCAGTTATGTGGGATCTCTTTTCAAAGGCAGAGCTGTCTGGTGGGAAGCAATGAGGGCAACTTGAGGCTGGGTCTGTCTGTCAGTCAGACACCTTGTACTGGCATACTACTCACCTGAAAAGTCAAAATGAACACTAACAGCAATTCCATGACAATGAATTGGACAAGGCATCAGATTTGAGTGGAATCAGGAGGGACAAGGTAAACCAAAGTGTGTCATTCAAGCTAGAAAGATCTCATGCTTCTCTCATCCAGCCTGGGACACCTTCTTGCCCCATTGCAGCAGGCCTGATTGATTTAAGTGGCTCCAAGTTACTGCTGGGCAACTTCTCCAGGAAGAGAAGGCTGCACTAAMGTGTTCCTGAGGCTGTGGCTAAACAACCACTAAGGTATGTGCCCATGTGGATGGCTATTTAGTGGCACAGGCGAGGGTTCTCCCAGGTTTGCAGGGCTGTAAGGTAGAATAACACACAAGGGTCTTAAGGCACTGGAGTGATTGGTTTGATCCATCCTCATTTCTCCTAACTTCTCACACATATGCAATGGAGAGGCCAATCAAACAGTATCATTTCAGGTTTGGGTAGAGAACAGGGAAAAGAAGCAGGTGTAACAGAAGACTGGGTAGTGCAGGATGGCACACAAGAATGGTGCGTCTGTACCTCAGTGRCGTTGGCACTTGAGACCCTGAGATACCCCTGTGGCATCAGTCTGTGTCCAGCGGTCATTCCATGGAGGACTGTGAGAGCCCTTTGAACCAGAGAGTTCTTGGATTTTCTGAGGGACTATCAGATTACATCTATAATAGCAAATAAAATAGGGCAGGGACTGCTCCCTAGCCCTGAGGCCAGCTGGCACCACACAGCTCATGTCCATACAGCTAAGCCCTCTTACTCTGCAGAATAGAGTGGCTGCCTTGGACAGAGAATTGGAACTAGTTTTTGCCTAGGGCAAAGCTAGTTGGCATGTACAAAAACCATGCCACGGTCCATGCTGTGAGCTCATCACCATGAATTGTTCACATKCCAGTGCTTAGTTTGTGAGGATTATCATTCTCACACTCATGTTTACAATTAGTGAGAATGCTAATTGGGATGTGAACCTCTGCTTACTGAGCCTGTTTATGCTTTTGGGCCTGGTCCCTTCAATGCCATCAGATGGCAGACTTGTGTTTGCTTCCAACACTGGCACTAGGTGCATCCTCACTTCCCTCTCTCCCTTGGCTTTTTAAGCTCTCTTTTAAATATCTCCCTGCACAGCATTTCCATATGGATCACTTGTAAGATGTGTGCAATTCCCAGCTCTAATGCATTTAATTAAAGATCTGCTACTGGATCATCAAGCATTTTTTTTGTCTTATTAAATTCCTACTACTTTTTTTTTTTTTTYYCCCMAAAAAACAAGTCTATTGCAATATGGCCCAGTATGGCCCAGTACTGAAGCTTTTGCTCCTGCATCAGCAAACTCCTTGGAAGCTAAAACATCCATCAACTTGCTTTCCCTTGATACCATGCAACAAAATTGAGACTCCGACTCCTACTTAAAGACTCCTTTTATATACAGCACTGCTACAACCATGAGCTAAAGGCAAAATAGGCTATTTATAAAAACATTCAAAGGCAAAATACACTACTGATTAAAACAGGACTCAGATATGGTTGGAAGAAAAAACAGGTTATATTGTCCCACGTTTTAGCTATTTTCCTAAATGACTTCATCATACACCGCTGGGGAGTGAGAGGAGTGCTTTCAGTTCTGCTGTTCTCCAATACATTTGTAACAGGAGACAYGCTGAATTACAGAGTTGAGAGTAGAACACACAGTTCATGACCATCTAAGCCCAAGTCTGAGCCTGAAGACTCGGTTAGACAGCAGCAAAGAAAACTCTGTGAGGCTCTGACAGGCCCTACTGAGGCAAAGCTTCTCTTTTCTCACAGGTAAACACAAGATGAATGAGAGGGCGTAAAACCACACAGCAAARGTAAGGCAATGAAACTTAAGGAACACCATCACTAGTGTTTCATTACATTAAAAACTTTCTGTGGCTTTCCACTGAAAATGTGCACAGATTTTAGCCAGGAATCCCCAGAATCTCTTCAAGACAGTTCAACAGAAGGACACATAACATAGCAGGTACAGGATCAGGCACTGAGAGGTCCTGAATACCTGTCCTGATATTGAATGCCTTGTCCAATTCACACAAACTGTTAAGTAACACTGATCCTGCCATTACACTAGCATTGAAACTGGGTTCCTGCTCCTACAATAACAAGCTATTCATAAACATCCTAGCAACACAGGCAGGAAAATCGGTTGTATTTGAAGCGGGGKAGCTGGTGATCTCAGAGTCCCACAGGGGAGCTCACAATGGTTCTTGTGCTTTTCTTACTCTTAGGATAAACAGCTTAAAACACAATTTTCTACCATGCTATATTCCTGTTACAGTACTGTAGGGTCAAGTCCAACTTCCAGGGAATCCTGATGGCACCCAGAGATCCCTGGATGGTAGAGAACTCCTGTTGAGGTTCTTGATACCCTGGTTGCTTCTCAGCTAGTGCCAGGCAGATGCCTCTCTGATGAAGAGCCCCAGAATCGCTGTTACCCACCATGCCTGAAATAATCTAGACTGCTGTTGAGGTCAAGGAGCAGCAGAGAGGTATTTAAAGTCAGTTCACCACATGCTCAAGTCTCGTGCAAAATGGAGATGAAAGAAAGAAAGAAAGAAAATATTGGATTCATGGCAAACAAGCTAATTTCCACTAGCGTGGATGGCCTAAATATAAACAAGARGTCTACCTTCCCAATGAGAACTGTCAAGCAGAACTCAGCTACTCTCCCCTCTTTCTCTTGAATGTCTCCAGAGCAATGAGGTGAAATACTCTGTATACCTTTGCATCCTATTGCCACTAAGCTAGGTCTTATTTCTCACCAGCTTTAGCACTGTTTCATTGATCTTGAGGACAAGAAGAAATCCAGTGTCATTTTTAAAGAACATCAKCAAGAAGTGATATCATAAAGGACACACAAATCAGGATGAAAAATAAAGTTCAAGCGGTTGCATTGCTAAATCATAGTGGTAAAAAGCAGAGGATTCTCACTGTGGAACGGCAGCATAATCCTGCTGACATCAGGACGGCCAGTTAATACCACTTTCCAATTCATGAGGAGATGTGTGATGATTTATCTGACTCATCCTTCAGCAGTTTGTTTGATGTAGGCTATTTCTGCAGTATTTTCTCTGGGGTTTTCTCCAATCTAGTTTTCCGTGTCTTAGCAAAGGACTGCTGGGTGCTCCTCTCTCCTCTCCCTGGGGAGACTGCTAGATTCACAGGTCACAGTAGATTCACTGATCAGAATAACTGCAGTGTTGCTGTTTCTACCCAGTTTTAGTCTTGATTTTTCACTTCCTTGCACTTTGGGCTATCATATGTGTTAGTTTGTAGTTGACTGATACAGTTATACACACACAACTGTACAGTGTTGGCATTTTATATGCACTTTGTTAGAATGGGCAAAAAGGTGACAAAAATCCAGAGGAAACTTAAAATGTTTCATTTCCTGCTTTAGGACAAAATCATGTCYTTCTGCATGATATTTCCACCCATCTAAAACTGCCTCCCCTTCTAACATAACAACACTGTGAGATCTCTTACACAAGATGAATCTTCTATGTCCACTTGCAAAGCAAAGAACAAGTAGGACGCACTGAGATATTTTGTTAGATGGACCTTCACTGGGGTAGCATGGGCACATCTGGAGAGATCATAATCTGGGAATCTTAAAGTGGGAGCTGGTGGATATCTTGACCAATTTTAGATGTTTACATGCAGTCATCTCCAGTGGATCTTCTCATCTTGTGCTTTCTTTCAAGTTACTGGGAATAAGTCCAAGATTGGATTTCTAGTGATTAACCAGACCTATTTAGACATCTCCTTTGGACAAAAGGAATTGCAGCTTGGAAACACCTACATCTTTCCCAAGAAAACTAAAGTGATTGAGCTAAGGTGACATGGATGGAGACATCCATATTTGTTCTAGTGCATCCCAGGTACAGAGAAAAGAAAAAGAAGGCCCCAAAGCCCTATGGCTTTGGTAACACAACACATGTATGTGTGAAACATAAGAGGAGAAGAGGCAAAGAGTCTGAGGTGTACTATGAAGCAGAAGATGACTGAGTAAAAGAAAATCTGTCTAGAAGAATAAAGGAGGAATGGTTAGGTCAAAAGCTGTTTTTTTTTTTAATTAAAAAAAAAAGAATAAAGAAAAAGAAAAAAAGAAAGTGCAGTCCATGTTTCCAATCATCATTCTCACAGTTCTTTTAATGCATTTCAGTCCTCACTGCCATTGTTCCTGGTTATTCCAGCACTGGGGCTCCCAGATACTGTCTTAGGACTTC